TCTATCAGGGACAGAGTAGCAACACTTCGGCTGCTGTCAGTATTCTAACAGGGACAGAGTAGCAACACTTCGGCTGCTGTCAGTATTCTACTATCAGGGACAGAGTAGCAACACTTCGGCTGCTGTCAGTATTATACTATCAGGGACAGAGTAGCAACACTTCGGCTGCTGTCAGTATTCTATCAGGGACAGAGTAGCAACACTTCGGCTGCTGTCAGTATTCTAACAGGGACAGAGTAGCAACACTTCGGCTGCTGTCAGTATTCTACTATCAGGGACAGAGTAGCAACACTTCGGCTGCTGTCAGTATTATACTATCAGGGACAGAGTAGCTAAGTAATTTTTCTTAAGTTTTTATAATAAAATAACAAAGTGTGTAAACGCCTTCATGATGTAAAGAGACTTGACACATTTAAAAAAGTAAAAAACGTCTAATTCTCCATAAATTTCTCAGATCTTCAGGTTATTTTAAATCCTGTTTTTCAAAGATTAAAATAATTCCTCATTTCAGTTTGTTGACAGGCGGCTTCGTGTGATTTCTGCAACACTTTTTAACGTTGGTCAACTTTTAGAAGCAGACCTGAACACATCAAACTTTTATTTACCTCTAAAATGTAGAAGTTTTCAAAGCGTCATGTTTCATCATCCAACATTTATTTAGGCCTAGTTTAAAAAGTGTTCTCTTCAAAAGCTCTTTATTTTGTATGTAGTCTGTGTTTGGGGTCGGATGAGACATAAATAAAGAAGACTGGTGTCTGAATTTACAGTAAATATAAAGCATGGTTCTTCCTAAATGATGGTTGAAGAAATGCATATCGCCCGCTGCGCCTGAAGAATGAGGCCGGGCCTCAGCTCAACATGTGGGCGCTCCCAGTACGACTCTGGTTTCAGGTTTGTTTATTTGTCATGTGCAAAATCAACACAAGGTCAACAATACAATGAAATGCTCAGGACGAGAAGAACCGTCTGGACTCGCCAAAAAACCATCAGCAAATATCAAAACATGCAACAAACATACAGAAACAATGCACCAACAGTGAAAAAGAAACAAATCTACAGCAGCGTGGTCCTGTTGGCAGCGTGGTCCTGTTGGCAGCGTGGTCCTGTTGGCAGCGTGGTCCTGTT